TTGTGGCAGCCTCATCTCGGGTTCCCTCCAAAAAATATTGAAAAACGAAAAATTGAAGAATGCAAGACTGTCATTTTCGACACGGTTTACGCTGAGTATTTGGAGCGATCGTCACGGTTTATGCTGGGCATCTGGGCTTCATGCATGGGTCCAAAATGGGTCTAAAATGGGTCCAAAATGGGTCCAAAATTGGAAGACGAAATTGAACTTACTTTCGAAATGCAAGACGGCGTTGCAACGACATAAGGCAAATTTCGTTTTTTCCGGAAAGATGCCAAAACGGCTCAAAATGGATGCAAAACAGCGTTTTTGGTGCAAAAATGACATGAAATGGCAGGTTTCTGGCTTGAAAAGGCAAAAAACGGCAAAATGGACACCAAGAAAGTGCAATATCTGGAATATGGGGACACTCCAAAATTAATTGATAAATAACCTCTCCTATCCATGCGCAGTGGCGTCTTTTGCAAGGGCCGCTTTCTCAACTCCACACTCTTTCCGCCGCCGTGACGGCAACAGACTCGCTCAGCACCCCCATAGGCGATAATGCTTAGGCTACTGGTTTCAAGTATTGCATCACAAAGGTGCTTGAACGCCATAGGCGTCCTGTGTGCGAAGCTGCAAGCTTTTCAGAGAAGCCATTTGAGGATTCTTCAGCAGACCGTGCAAAAGACCCGAGGGATCCTCGCGTTGGCGGTGATTGGGTAATCTTGAGCGGTGAAGCTTCCAGCACTCTTGTGTTGGTAGCGGAGCTCGAGACCAGCGGCTGGGAGATTGAGTTCCAGGTTGGGAGCTTTGCCTTCAAGCTTGCCTTTGAGGGTCCGGGGCTGGGATCCCGCAGCTTCTCCATCAGGGTGTCGATTCCGTACTTCCTCTACGGTTTTCGTGTGAAGTATGACTACACCAGATGGCTATGATGCTTCGAAGATTCGCTGCACGTGGGACGGGGAGGCTGCTACGTACCCTGATTTCATGCGCAGGGTGAGACTCGCTTTCGAGCGCACGCCGCGCAAAAAGCGCCACCTCCTTGGACCAGAAATCGTCGGCCAATTATCCGGCCGTGCCTGGATAATTACTCAAGACCTGAACCATCGCCTCCTGTGAGGAGGAATGGCGTCATATATCTTCTAGAGTATCTGCGCGACAGACTGGGTAGAACCCCGGTACCAGACGTCGGTACCCGACTCGAAAATCTCATCCTCCGACTTCGACGACCACATGGACAGAGTATGAGCACTTGGTCGAGTCAGTTACGACACCACTACCGACAGTTGCAAGTAGCCTTGGGACGAGTTCGTAAAGATCAAGTTCCTCCTTCCTCTCCGAGTCCTACGACACCTTCGGGATCACGCCCACCGAGATCTTCCCCTCCTTCGACCTCCTCCCCGAGACGGGCGAGCAGGGAGACTCAGGAGGAGCCACAGGGCGAAGCGGACACGGAAGAGGCGGAGCAGGCTACTGTGGGCCCTGATGAAGTGGAGCTTCAACGAGACCAAGACTTGGTGGATGACGAAGGCCCACCAAGTCCCTCATGGCGGCGTCGAGGAGGTCAAGATCGCAAAAGGCGAGACTCAGACTCGGATGACAGCACCCGGGCCTTGGAAGATTTGGATCTTTGGGACAAGTATGATGAGTCCTTGCCTGAGGTCCTTCCCTCTGAAGTCCTTGGATGGCTACTTTTGAGGCGATCTGGATTGGGACATCAGTCCAGTTTGGCCGTGCAATCAGCAGCCGGGAACTCCTTGAAGCTGGAGGATATCGAGAAGTCCCTCCGATCCATGGAGGACGAGCTCCTCAATCAAGAACTACGACCTCGACACGGACTTGGACCTCCTGGCGGCAAAGGACGACAGCGCACCTATTGGGTGAAAGAGGATGGCGAGTGGTCAATGTGGATGGGTGACAACCGAGACTTGGATGAAATTTTCGAGGTGGGCGAAATCCACTACGTGGGCAAGCGACTTCCTGCCCAGGTCCATCCCGAGGTACCACTGCCTCCTCTTCAGGATGATTGGACTTTCTATGGATCCTGGTGGGAGCCCGAGCCTTACCAGGAATGGGATGGAGAACAGGACGCTGACGCCTGGTGGTATGATGACCTTCCGATGGAGCAGCAGAAGGAGTTGGAAGAAGCCTATGCCTTGGCAGACCAGAAAGCAAGGAGCTTTATTGAAGCTCGACAGGCGGTCAAGGCCCGGAACCTTTCCAGAGGCTTCTACCCGTTCACTCCAGGCAACAAGGGCGGAGCCTTCAAGGGGAAGAAGGGCAAAGGAAAGATGCGGCCCAAGGGGAAAGGGCCCTTCTCCTCTACGTCCTCTACGACGACTCCGGTGTTGGCGACTTCGGGCTCTGCCGATGAACCCCATCCTGGCTTCCTGGGTGCGGCCGTGGGAGAGCCTGGATACACTGGATGCTTCATTTGTGGCTCGAAGCATCATGACTTCCGGTCGTGCCCCAAGCGTCAGTCAAAAGGTTCGGCCAAAGGACAGGTGCACTTTGCCAGTGAAATGATCTTTATGAGTGAGGAGTGTTCCCCTCACCTGGATGAGATCTACCCGGTGACCGAGGAGCAGCCCAACGAGGCTATCTACAGCCAGAGCTCCCCGGACGACCTTGCCGGTTATGCAGTGCTGGACTCCGGGGCTACCGAGACGGTGGCCTCCCTTCCCGCGCTAGAGGCGCTTCTCAGGGTCCGTGGGGATAAGAATGCTTCCGGAGGGCCTCCCTCATTCAAGGTCATTGAGCAACCTGCCAAGAAGTTCAAGTTTGGAAATGGTGAGTGCTCCCAGTCCTCCTCATACCTTCTTTTGCCTCAGCAGATAGGTGATCAGCAGGTGGAGCTGGGCGTGTACACGTTGGATGTAGTTGGGGTCCCCATCCTCATAGGCATTAAGACAATGATGAAGTTGCATGCCGTTGTGGACTTTGTGCATTGCCGAGCCGTGTTCGCTGCGATTGACCCAGGCCTGGTGGTTCCCTTGAAAAAGAGCAGATCAGGACACCTCCTAGTGAGTCTGAAGGACAATTGGTTGTCCCAAGGGCACCGCTTAGATGCCAGGACTCTACAGCTCGATCATCTTCCCTCGGATGCAAAAGAACCTTCAGCGTCGAGCTATGTGATTCAAGAGGTAGCCTCTGAAGATGATCTTCCCCAAGTCTGTACGGTGAGTCCTGAGCTTGAGGTAGGTGGTTGCCGTGCCGGCGATGCAGTTGCAGGCAGTCCTCTAGGAGCAGAACGTGTTGCTGAGTCCGTTGAGCATGAGGTGAACCACGTTTCTACGTCGCAGCTATCGCAAGCCCAAGCTGTAGATTCTATGCTTTCGCTCGCGGTGTTGACTTCGCTGCTTGCCCTTCATGGCGAAAGCAGCTTCCAATTCGAAGTCCAAGGCGGTCAAGAAGCAGAGCGACCCCTTGGACGAAGAGCGCATGGAAGGCCCGGACCCCTGCGATCCTCGATGTCAAGGGCCCCCATGCTATGGGAATCACAAGGTGGCCAAGGCCTACAAGGGGAGTGTCACCGGAGCCAATCAGTTTGCAGCTTGGACCGGTTGCGAGACTTGCAAACTGCGCCTCAGCTATGCTCCAAGGATGGGTTGTCACGGCATTCACCGGAAGAGTGCCCCTCTGGCCAAGGATGTGGAGTCTCTCTACAAGGACCTCCCCGCGGACACCGAGTCGTACCCCTCCAACCGAGAGATTTCCCTCACTGCAGCGGAGAACTCTGCACTCCAAAGGTTGGAACAGTTGAGACGACTTCGTCAAGGGCAGCCCGGCGCCAAGGAGAAGGGGGACAAAACATCCGTGATCCCCCAGAAGAATCAGGACCATCCAGACAAGACCTCCGTGATCCCGCAGAAGAATCAGGTTCATCCAGACAAGACCCCCGTGATCCCGCAGAAGAATCAGGACCATCCAGACAACGACCTTGTGATCTCTGCGGTCAACCAGGTAGCCACAGGGAGTCTGTCCAGTGCGTCGAGTCCCACGTCACCTCACACTGTGATAGTAGATCCCGAGGAACTCCCAAGGCACCACAGTCGCAAGGCATCTCGTCCCAGCGAAGTAATCCCCGAGGATCTGGAGAGGACAACCTAGATAGTTCGGTACAGCCCGAGCTCTTCTACACTGTCTTGGCCAATGCAGACGAAGTGGAGGCGCATGCACAGCACCTGCGGCTCCAAGAGCATTACGGCTATGAGCACATGGAGTCCCTCATCGAGCTCATGATTCCAAGATCTTCTTCCCCGACGAGATCACTTTCTTCACCAGAACGGAAGAGAAGTTTTTCTTTGGTCTTTGGGCTGTATGCGCATGGTAGTTACTTTGGCCACACGCGGGACACCAGGCAGTATCCACAAGTGTGCCGTTACTTTAACGAATGCCTGCGCCGGTTGACACCTGAAGGCCCCACAAGCTGGACATCCTTTACCATCTTGGTGAACATGAAGGGGGCCATGCATCTCGATGCTCACAATTTGACCCACTCCAGTAACTTGGCTATTGGATTGGGCTCTTACACTGGGGGAGAACTCTGGGTAGAGCGACGAGATGGTGATGAGTTTGATGTCCAGGCTCCATTGGCGTGGAAGGAGATTCCCGGAGGAACTCGAGCTCCGGGACAGACGATGACCACCTGGCACCGTCCAGTGACGTTTTCGCCAAAACGATATCACCTAACGTTGCCCTGGACTGGATCCAGGTATGCTGTGGTGGCGTATACGGCCCGGAGCCTTCGAGAAGCCTGTCAAGACCAAGAGCTGATGCGTGAGCTTCGGAATCTTCGATTCCCAGTTCCTCTTCCTCCACAACCAGAACGCCTCCTCTACGCAGATGAGCAGGATGAGCCTTTGGAGGGCAACTTCCTGGAGTTCCAGGAGACGGTGACTTCTGCTGACAAGGAGGCTATCCTCGCCGCTTACGTGAACTTCGAGGAAGGCCTCAACGAGATCTTTTCGTTGTATCCGTCTTCGACAACTACCAAGGTAGCCAACTTGTGCACTCCCTGGCTGAAACCTCTGGAGGCGGAGTGCGCGTTCCAGAATGCTGATTGGACATATGCCATGCTTTCCCGTCGAGACGGGTGTGATTTGTCCACCAACGCCGGCTTCCATCAGGCCCAGAAGAGACTTCAAGAACTACAACCTGAATGGCTTTGGTGCCATGTTCCCCAAGGACCACCTGTCATCTTTGAGAAGGATGAGCCTTGGGTGGACCTTCGTGAAAGGATCAAGGCCCGCCGGTACCTGAAGGTGGTTCGTCACCTCTTGCTTCTCTCGCGAGACCACCTGGCCCGAAAAGGGAAACTGGTTTGGTTGGCTCCTTCTGCCAGCCAAGTGTGGACCGTGACAGAAGTGAACAAATTCTGGCGGTGTCATGGTCAAGGGTCAGTGACTAAACCTACCGAGGGTGTGACCCTGGCTTCCAATGTTGAAGAAGTTCGAAACCTTTCCTCCTCCGCGACTCCGGTGCGCTTGTGGGAGGATTTGATTGAGTCCACCAAGGCAGCAGCGACTTGGTTGATGAACGATGAAGGAGAACTTCCTATCTACCCGGTTGATACTAGCTGCCTGGAGACCTTGACTACGACGGAGCTCGAGAAGCTCTTCAACCATGTACGGCAGCTTCATCGACGGTTCGGACACCCCTCCAACAGGTTGCTGGTCAAGAATCTCATTCACCGGAATGCTGATGAGAAGGTGATTGCAGCGGCCTCTAAGTTGGAATGTGATGAGTGCCTGGAATCCCAAATTAAGTTTCCCTCGCCTGCTGTGAACTTGGACAAGTGCGACAAGTTATGGTCATGCCTCCAAGCAGACGGGTTTCATTTGCGATGCGGGTCCAAGGTCTACCATTTCCTCCTCATGGTTGATGAGGCCAGTGGCTTTGCTGTGATCAGGGAGATGTTCTCCCATCCTGAGGAGGAGCACCGCAATATGACGGGGCCCGAGGTGGTTCAGACTCTCCAGGAGGCTTGGTTCCAGTATTTCGGCTACCCTGATACCTTGAAACTGGACTTGGAAGGTGCCCTGCGGAGCACCGTGCTGCGTGAAGCCTGCCTGGATAAAGGGATCGATTTGATCTCTGCTCCAGCGGAGTACCACGAAACGATTGCGGACGTTGAGAGGGAGATTGGCTATGTCCGGCAGCACTTGGAAACTTTCCTCAGAGGTGGAGCGTATGAACGTCCTGGGCAGGCAGCCCTGGCAGCTGTGACAGCCCACAACAGTTTGGGTCGGGTTCATGGTTTCTCCCCTCTGCAATGGGCCCTAGGCCGAGATATGTCACTTGGAGGCCGTCTACATGAAGCTGAAGGAGATGTTGTTTCCTCCACCCGCACAACGTCCTTCGACCAACAGTCGAGCTTACGTGCGGAAGCAGAGCAGGCCTTCCTCAAGCACTGTGCTCATCAGCTGGCCTCCCGAGCCAAGAATGCCAAGGTCCGAACCCAAGTCCGCTTCTTCCCTGGAGATTTGGTGTATTTCAGGAGGTACAAGGTGCCAGCCGACTTACCGGCTAACTCTTGGGTTGATCGGCCTCGACTTCGTGGAGCTCGTTGGTATGGGCCCGCCAGAGTTCTAGCCAGCGAGACAAAAGTTGAGATCGGGTCTCGCAAACCCTCACAGGTGGTGTGGGCTATCTCAGCAGGACGGCTGAAGAAGTTTCATGCCACCCAGCTCCGCCACGCCTCCCCAGGAGAGAAGCTCACTCAAGAAGCCTTGAGAGATGTCACAATGCCATGGACTATGACTTCCCTGACCCGGCTCCTTGACAAAGGCTCTTATGAGGATGAAACTCGTACGAAGGCAGCCAGATGGCCACAGCTGAGTCGAAAGAAGAAAGGAACATCTCGGCGAGGCCTAGTACCTACTGCTCGGCCTCAACCTCCTGAACAGGAACCATGCGCGGACCTCCCTCGACTACGTGAGCCTCCTCTTGCTCTCGGCGGTGAACAGCCTGGATCTGATGATGAAATGTTGACCGACGCTGAGATGCAAATGCGAATGAAGCGACCTCATTCTGGTGACGAAGATGATCGTCTCGATGTTGAGCGCCTCTTGGGGGACCCAAGCTATCTGCCACGACCTGCCGCTTCCTCCTTTCAGGAACAACGTCACCGGCATGAACAGAGCGACCGACCATGGCATGTTCAAGTGGGCCAGTTGATGTATACCGAGGAGGAGTTCAATGACGGTGTCTACTCAGTGGTGTTGGACATGCCGGCTAACGACAAGGAGTGGCGAAAGGTCCTGAAGGATCCCAAGAAATTCTTGGCTAAGTCGGTCCAGAAGGGTGTTGAAGTTAGCTGGAATCGATTGGATGACCAACAAAAGAGAGCGATGACTGAGGCGAAGGAAGCTGAGGTCAGTTCCTGGCTCTCCAACAAGGTGGTGAAAGCAGCCCTTCCACACATCAGTTCCGACCAGGCCTTAAAGATGAGGTGGATCTACACCTTCAAGGCAGCTGAGCCCGGGAAGGTCAAAGCGAAGGCACGGATGGTTATCCTAGGATTCTCGGATCCTTCCTTGTTGGAGCAAGAAACATCGGCGCCAGCGATGTCCCGTCAGAGCAAGATGTTGTTCTTCAATTATGCTGCTGCCAAGAAGTGGCGAGTGCTGGCCGGAGATGTGAAAACAGCTTTCCTTCAAGCTAGAGCTCCAGACCGCAAACATCCTCTTTTCGCCAGGCCACTTCCAGAACTTTCGGCAGCTATGGGTTTGCTGCCCGAGCAGATGGTTGAGCTGATGGGTTCCGCGTACGGCCTTACTTCAGCCCCTCGAGAGTGGTTTCAAGATTTGACAGGAACTCTTCGGCGACTGGAAGCCGAACCCTGTGTGACCGATCCTTGCCTCTGGCGGCTTTTTAGCGAGGATGGCAAGAAGGTCATCGCCCTTGTTGGCCTCTATGTCGATGACATCCTGTTCTGCGGAGATGAAGGAGAAGAGCGATACAGTACCTTCCTTCATGAGCTCCATCAAGCCTATGCTTGGAGCCCCTGGGAAAGCGACAGCTTCTCGCATTGCGGTGTTCGCATTCAGCAGTTTGCCGATGGAAGTATCCTCCTGGACCACAGCGAGTTTTGCTCAGAGCTGATGCAGATGCCTTCAAGGGAGAAAGGAGACACCTCGGAGATGAATCCCCAGGAGATCTCCCAGGCTAGGGCCATCCTGGGATCGGCGCAATGGCGCGCTTCCCAGACCGGACCGCAGCACAGTGCAAAGGTGTCCTACTTGTTGTCACTCCTCTCAACGAAGAGCTGCGAGGTAATCGAGCAAGTGAATAAGCTCATAAGGGAGATCCACTCGGCGAAGCACGTGAGCGTTCGAGTGCAACAGCTGAATGGCGACCCCTCACAACTTATGTTCGTGGGGTGGACGGATGCTGCTGTCGCCAATAGGCCAGACCTCAGTTCGACTGGAGGATTTCTGTTTGGCCTGATGCATCCTGAAGAAGTTCGCCAAGGATTTGGGAAAGTTAATCCCATCACGTGGCGCTCCGGACGTTTGCATCGAGTGGCAAGAAGCAGCTTGTCTGCTGAGACCCAATCGCTCGCAGACTTAGATGGCGAGCTGATGTTTGCACGCCTAACGTGGGGCGAACTACTAGGCCATCGAGTGAGCCTCCCAGAGAAGGACCGCACCATCCGAGAAGTTCCAGCCCTCATGGTCATCGATGCAAGAGCCCTTTACGATGCCCTCGAACGTGGCGACCTTACCATCTCCAACATGAAGGATAAATATTCTGCATTGGAGACATTGGCTCTGGCTCAAAGCATCGCACAACAAGCTACCAGTCTTCAGTGGACCGACAGCGACCATCAGCTGGCGGACGGATTAACGAAACTCCAGAAGCAAGATGTTATTCGCAAGTTTTTGATCAACGGATGCTGGAGACTTCGCTACCCAGGTGCTTTTATGAGTGCTAAGAAGCGAAGAGCGCTGGAAGCAGCCTTGCCATCGGGAGCCTGGGACCAGGAGCACTGAAAGCCCTGAACCTTTGGCAACCGTTTTCGGGGCATGTCAGAGATATCGCCTCAGGATTTTATGTCCATAATTGCCTACGGTTCATTGCTTCAGCATGGATGGGCGTTGCATGTCAGACTGCTTGCGTACAGACTCATGCTTCGATATCCGCAGGCGCGCCTTCGGCTCTTGCTTAGGCTACTGGTTTCAAGTATTGCATCACAAAGGTGCTTGAACGCCATAGGCGTCCTGTGTGCGAAGCTGCAAGCTTTTCAGAGAAGCCACTTGAGGATTCTTCAGCAGACCGTGCAAAAGACCCGAGGGATCCTCGCGTTGGCGGTGATTGGGTAATCTTGAGCGGTGAAGCTTCCAGCACTCTTGTGGTGGCAGCCCTCGTTTGCTGGCCTATGACAGCAATGTCCACTTACACGAGTGCGTGCCCAGGCCTGGTCGCAGGGCAGAGGCACTTGGCGCCAAGCACCCCTCGACGCCGGACATGGAAGGAGGGGTTTGTCTTCGCAGACCTCAACGCCGGCTTGACTCATGGCATCCACCCAAGCATCAGCCACCGTAGGCCTGAAACTCCAACGGCCCTGGCAGCCATCGGCAAATGTCGTAATTTTCGTTCCAAAGTAAAATTGGTCTTGCTCTTTGAAACCGAAGCTTCGAGATGATCAGACAAGCCTGGGATAAGAACAAAGTTGCACACTCGCTGGCCATCTGAGAAGCGAGCCCGGGAGCGGGCACACATTGGCAGCCTTTAAATACTCTCGAAACACATACAAACGCTCCAAAAGCACTAGAAGCGGTGTCGGTGACGGTAGGGGAGGTGAGAGGGCGATGGAAGTACTGGGCAGTGCGGGTAGTGGGGGTGGTGGGGGCGGTGCGGGCGGTGAGGGTGGGGGCGGCGAGGGCGGTGAGGGTGGTGGGGGCGGTGAGGGCGGTGGGGGTGCGGGGGGGGGAGCGGGCACACATTGGCAGCCTTTAAATACTCTCCAAACACATACAAACGCTCCAAAAGCGCTAAAAGCGGTGTCGGCGACGGTAGGGGAGGTGGAGGCTGGACCCTGGTCAGTGAGCCAGGCTGGTCGCGAGGTCCAGTGAGCAGTGAAGATGTGGAGACGACCTTAGTTGTGCATCCAACTCTAGAAGTCGTGCATGTGTTGCATTTTTTTGTGCAGATTTTGACTTGTTCGTTTCTCTCGTTTTCTTTGTTGATTTCGGATTGTAAAGCTTCCATCCAATCATTTAAGCGTTTCTCCTGCCTGTTTGCTTTCAATTTCCTTCTTAGACGCGGATCTCTCGACACGCGATCAGTTCCGTTCCTTCTTTACAAGCCGGACCAGCTTGGTTGCTTAAGTCTTTTCGTTTTCAGTCTTGGCTGCCGTCTTTCATTGAGCTTACTTGGTTGTTGGAACTTTTTTTAAAGTTCTTAAAAAGCCAAGAAGTCGTAGTGTCTGTACTTTTCTGACTTTGGCTCCTGTCTGCAAGTGTGAGAAAAAGTGTTTGAGTGTGAATTAAGCCGTTTGCTTTGCTTGCAGCATCTTGCACAGGATGATGTCCGTCAAGGCGCTTGAAACCAAAAAAACAGAGTCTTAAGTTGAACTTTGTAGAGCCAGGAACTGCAAACGCAGAAGTGAGATAAGATGGTTCGACTTTTTGAATCTTTCTCCATCATTTTATTGCCTCAGTGACGCAAGGAAGCTTTGGAAGCTGAACTCTGTGTTTAAAGGGTCCACACTTGTCAGGTGGTTTTTTGCTTTGAAGCTTGCAGTCCTGATTCCAGCCTCTCCAGCTGCAAACCGCCAAGATCAGTCGGCAAAGGAGCCGATGGAAAGAATCTGAGATCCTTGAGGTTAGCCAGCCGGCACATGCTTTGTGTAAATGTGGCTGTACATAGTTTCAGTTCATGTTCTTTCTTGAGAGCAACAGTGCATTTTTCCTGCGTTCTTTTGCAGCAAGCTTCTAGATGCAACAGTGGTCACACTGAAGTCACTACATGCAAAAAAAAGAAGCGAACAATGTAGACGGACGGCTCTAGCCGAAAGTTTATGAAAGGTGTTTTTAATGCTCTATCTTTGACTACTGTATATCTATGTATGTATGTTTATGTGTGTATA